ACATGCCCAACCACTTCCCTAAACCCAATTGACAGTTTTAAAAGTAATCCAGAAAAAAAAAAAAGCCTCGTCCATGGGCTTTTACCATGTTTTCAGATTTTACCACATTCTCACCCTGTTTTTTTACTTATTTAATTTATTTTTTGGCCTTTGTTTTTGTCTTGCCTGCATTCTGGAACCGTTCTTGCCAAACTCTTACCCGTTCGTTATCAATTCCTGACTGCGTCAAGTCTGTCGACAGTCTTTGGCGAGCCAACTGGACAAACTGGTAACAGCGGGAAAGCCGTTCATACTGAGGTAAGCAGTCAGGTGGTAAGCGTGAAAAGATAAAACTGAGGTCTTTCGTATTAGACCCAAGAACCAAAAATCTAGAATACTGTCTAAGTCTTTATGGATTTTCAGTTCAGTCCACATCTTCAGTCAAAAATTTAGGGGTGATTTTAGATAGCAACCCGTCGTTTAAAAGCCAGATTTTAAGCATCTGTAAAAAATGTACATCTTAAAAATGCTGCCAAACTTTGAAATATGCTGTCAATGTCTAATATGGAAAAGTCTAATCATGCTTTTATGACCTCTTGGTTAGACTATTGTAATGCCTTACTAAAGGTGGTTGCACTGTAGGCCTAATTAACAAACTGCAGGTGGTTTTGAATGCTAAATATGATCATATTAGTTTCATCATTGCATTGGCTCCCTATTAAACATTGAATAATTTTTTAAATCTTATTGACTACCTACAAATCCCCGAATGGCTTAGCTCCCCAGTATTTAAGGGTGCTCCACGTGTATTACAGACGCTCATGTCCACTACACTCAATTAATTCTTGAATATTGATTATTCCTAGAATATCAAGATTGACAGTAGGTAGTAGATCCTTTTCATATCTGGCACCTAAACTCTGGAACAGCTTTCCTAGCACCGTAGGAAAGGCAGACACACTCTGTCTGTTTCAAACTAGAATAAAGATTCATATACTTGCATTAGCATACACATAAAATACAAACGCATAACTTTTAAAATAAAAATTCTCTAAAGTATTGTTAGGCTGCATTACCTAGGGCAATTAACTGGAGCTGGGAACACTTCCCCCCCAAAAAACACTAAAAGTAGCAAAGGGAGGTTTATGGTGTGTTAGCAACATGGACAGTTTAGTTCTGCACAAGATGTTTAGCCAGAGAAGAAGTGGTCATGTCCAGCTTAGAATGTTTTTCTTGAGCTTTTTTTTTTTCTTTCTTTCACTATGTCAATTGGTGAAGTTTATTCCTCATTACTATTGCCACTGGCTTGCTTGGTTTCAAAGCTTCACACAAACCCGAGTAGCAGTAGACAGGGTTTTAAATGTGTTATGTTTAATGTGTTAATATGTCATGCTTTATTGTTATGTATTTATAACTTAAAGGGGTGGTCCAGAGTGTATTTTTAAGGCTAGGTTGTGTTTATAGGATACAAAGCAATTTGTGCTTGTGCTTCATTTGTAAAATTAAAAATATTTATTTTTATACTTTAATTATATACAGCTACTCAGCTAAAATGTAAACGACTGTCATATTTCCTAGTTCTTTCGAAAGGCTTGCCCTCAAGAGGCTCTGATTGGTCAGCTAACATAATGGGTCAGCTCCATGTCACGTCCAGTCACTCAAACAAGCACTCATTGTGCCTCTGCTGTGTAAATATTGTCAGTCGGTGTAGCCATGTCTGTGTGAGTTTGATTTTGACAGAAAATAAAGAGGACACAGCTGAACCTTATGTCAAATCTCTAAAATAAAATCTGACAAGTGTGTTTCACATATATTCAGAATAAGCTAGTGTAAGTAATATAAAACGTTCACATATCTTTTGCGAGCTTGTTATTTGAGATGTAGAATGCAGGGAAAGTGGCTGCATAGAGAGACACTGCAGCACTGGTGAAAATAAAATAAATAGATTAATAAATAAAATATGTAGCTAAATTGAACAACTGTTTTACAGAACTGGGTATGATGAGACGACATTATCCGCTTGTTAAGTGTGACGTCACGCGAAGCGGCTTCCGGGTCCAAGCACTCTATCAAAGTGTATGGGGAGACTCATCAAATGGTAATAATAAACATTTACAAAGCGCTGTAATACTTTTGAAAATCACAATCACAATGTATATATCCTTGCCAAAAAACCAATGGCCAGAAAGTGATTACATTTTTTAAATTGTTAAAATTTTGGTATTTGTGATGCAGCAAGTCCAGATACTTTTGTGTACACTATGATTTTATATGAAATTCACTTTAAAGTGTGATATGACTAAAAAGTGGCCTCAAACGCATATTGTCTCAATTCAAAGGAGTAGCGGCTTGGACCCAGAGACTGTATTTCATACGTCACCAGTTAACAAGCGGATTCTACTCACTTTGTTTATTGAATTGACTTTCAGCAGGCCACTAATACAAATTAATGAATTTTACTGTATAAAGAATATAAAGAGGAAAAATAAATGGCAGTGACCTCAAAAGAGGATTGGCCACAGATATGCATGTGATACTAATGTCAGGATAAAATGCTAAGTGTAAAATTGTTTAAATTAAAAATATAAAGGATAAAAATAACTCAAAAAGCCAAACTCACTCAGTTTTCACTATGATTATGGATTATTTGTTTTGCTACCATATTATTTGAAGCGATTTGTTTCAGTTTGTAGTAGAAAGTGGAACCCATCATATAAAACACAGTATTCATAGATTATAATTTTTTCAGGTGTGTTGAATTGAAAAATAAAGCTGGACCCTGAACCCTGATTAATTAGTTAATGTTCATTGTTCCTGGAAAAGACTTCAGTTCGGCCCTATGCCATTTGTCCGATTTTTGCCAAAATTTAATCATATGATCTACAGACCAGGCTGACCAAAATTTATGGAATTCAAGTTGATTAGATTAACCGTTTTCAATTGACTTGCAAAAACAAAATTAACGTAAAGCTTTCAAAAATTGACTTAAGGTGTTATTTCTGTAACATATGATGTATTCACACCAAACTTGGTGTGTGTTATCACAACTATGGTCTAAAGTTAGCTGCAGCATTTCGGTGCAATGCCCTCTAGTGGTCTGGAGATACAAAAAAGATACATACGCTTTTTTTGATTATAACCAGTTCTTTACATTAACACCCGTCAACCCGCCAAATGCGAGTAGATTTTGGTTGTGGCGGGTTAGACAGCCTCTCCCACTAGCCACTTTGGCTGGCTGAAACTCATTTTTAAATTGCCAGTGCTGGCACGTCGTCACTACAGATTAGACTGTTTAAGTTTATGACCGTTTCTGTATATGCGAACAAATGTGATCTTAGAATCGAGAAGCAGCACGACTGACAAAAACAGCTTTTCATGCGAGCAAAAGTAAGGAGGTGAATAATGAATGAGAGGATCACGCGCACGGTGAGACAGGTTTTCCTCACTCACTGACGAGGGCTTTAGTATCGTGCGCACAGATGATTTGATGCGTGCGAGTGTTTAAAATCTCCTGTGCCAATTTCTCACTCAAAGCAACCGTGCCTGGAAACGAAACTAGTGCAATGCTCGTACACCCACTGTCCTTCAAGGGCTCGAGATTCTTTATAAGCAGCAGCAGTTGTCGCTTTCTTGTTTTTGTTGCTTTCTTTTGCTTGCTTTTATTTTTGTTAAAATAATTTGATAATCGTCCTTTACAATAATATTGCTTTAATATGTTGTTGTATGGATAGTTAACTGGTGATCTGGGATCTTGAGTCAGAACAGACCACCGTACAAAGTTTTAGATTCGTGATAATATATAGATTTTTTAAATGTCAGCTGTTTTGTTGAATAAAAAGTGTATGTATACAGCAGTAATTTGCGTGTTTTGACACATTATTTAAAATTTGTGACAAGGAAATAATTAGTTTGGTGTGGCCAGAGAAAAAAAAAAAGAAAATCCTTATTGTGTCGAGCCCTGAAATCTAAACTAAGTAATTTTAGCATGCCACAACCCATGCCAAAGTCAAAATATATTTTCCTAACAACAAAATTGTGGCTAGTGAAAATGGCAAGTGGCTAGTAACGGTGGAAAACTACTAGCCACAGTGGCTGGTGATCAAAGAATTATTAGTTAATGATTAATGATTAATAATGATTAAGCCCTGCTTATAACTAATGGCTTTTGAATAGTTTTGTCTATTGTCATGAGACTGGTCTTCCTGATTCCTTGTATCATTGATATGTGAACATTGATATAATTTATTCTCTAATTTAAACAGCTTCCTTTCCACCATCTTGTATTTGTTTGAAAATCTGTTGTTTTAAACCCTCCATAGATCATTAGCCCAATTTCCACCTATTTTGGCTTAAAACATGCTGCCAAAAAGTTATTGAATTTTCCAGCTGTTCTGTAGCTTGTTGCCTTGCTTGTTTAGGATGTGGCCACTGGGCTGCTTGGCCCTAATAATTTCTGCTTGCAGCTATATTTATTATTCATTCATTCATTCATTCATTCATTCATTCATTCTTTTCGGCTCAGTCCCTTTATCAATCAGGGGTCGCCACAGTGGAATGAACCGCCTATATTTATGATTATTATTATTATTATTATTATTATTATTAATTTTTTATTGTTATATTGTTAAAACCACATCTCTACACTCATTGGCTGGCATGGTTTGGGACTTGTGGAGCTGTGCATCGATGTATTTGCTCTTCAGTGTTTGAACTTTCAGCAAAAAAAATTAAACCACACTGAAATAAACTGAACTGAACTGAACTGAACTGAATGTCAACTATCATAATATAATCTTCTATGTTAAGCTGCTTTGACACAATCTACATTGTAAAAGTGCTATAGAAATACAGATGAATTGAATTGCTTTAATTTTGAGTGCAATAACATAATAGTGAAAAAAGATAAGATATATATTTATCTTTTTACCTTTATTTCAATCTTATTACCTTGTTTCCCTTGATATTTTTATATTTTAAGAGCTGCTTAATATGTGATGACAAACAGAAATAAAATACTTGAAAATAGATACATTTGGAAATTTATTAAAAACGTTATAACTTTGTTATTTGAAAAAATCATATTGTTTTATTATATTTCTTTAATTTATAATAAAATACTTCAACTGAATTGTCAAAACATCATATAATACTTCAAATGGTTACAGTTTGAAAATGCAATAATCATATTACAGCTTGAATATCTCAAATGATTTAAGATTCTTTTATGTACACCTGAGTTCCAGCACAAGCATTATAGCAACACTAAACACAAGCCCAAAAAAATGACATAAATACAAATATTCACATATCAAACTTAGCCTCTCATTTTACCATTTAATTTAACACATGGGTGTGTTTTAGGATAAATAAAACTGATTTTATGTTTGTAAGTTGGTAAAGAGCTTCCATTCAACAGTTAATGAGACATTTCCTCCAAATACTTCAAAGCAAACACTTGTATCAAGAGTGAAGCCCATAAGCTGATTCATTAGCAGGAAAAAAAGTTGTATTTAAGATTGCAATGTCATTACAAACTTTTAAAATGTATTATTTTTTAAATTAAATAATGTCATTCAGTACATGAAGATGAAGACAACTCATCTAATTGTTCTCATGGTCCAATATTATTAATATCTGTGCATTCTGTCATCATCTTGCCGGAAGTATGGGTTTTGGACACCGCCATTATCCATTCCTCTTGCAGCAGAGTAACCCGAATACGCTGGGGGAACTTGAGTCCTGTAACTCGGTGCCTCTTCATATTCATGGTAGCGCTACAAAAACACAAATTATGTTTAGAAATACTTCCAGATGAAAAATTAAGTCATTTTTTATCGCTTGGATCAAACCCAACATAGACGTCTAAACACATCTTGATTAAAAACAAGGCTTTATCTGGGCTGTCTGTGAAAAATTCTAGACGTCTAACAAGAGTTTAATAACTAAATTTTGATATTTAATAACTACATTTTGATTCTAATAACTAAATTTGTCAGACAAACTTGTTTAGCCTATGTTTAGACATCTATTAAACACGCAAAAATGCTTGCTGGTTAGGCTGGAAGAGAGTCAGCATTTCATTTCTTTTTGCACATGATTAGTGTTTTAGTGTAGTGTTACCCCTTTGCTTTCTGGGCGATCTCTGGTCACCAGGCTCTGATTACTGTCACTATTGGTCATCTCCAGATTGTTAGACTTCCAGTTGGACTCAGGGTTAGCCCGAGGGATCCTGGGAACTCCTGTAGGTTTATGCAAATCCTTATTGCCATAACTTAAGCTAAAGTCTACCTCTGGTGAGGAACTTCCCTTTTGATTCCTAGAGTTGAAAATGGATGCACAGACAAGAAAGAGAGTTATAGCTATGGAATGTTTGTAATAATAAACCTACAAAATGTGTGCTTGACTCTCACCTGCAGCTTACAACTATCAGGGACACCATGAAGATGATCAGCAATGAACCCAACACAGCAGATACCACGACCACAATCAAAAGATTTGCTGTAATAAAAATTTGCATTACACACTGATGCAGGAATGTTCCTCAAACTACTAGAATAATAGAGAAGAAGTGCTTTATTCAGGTGATAGTGGATAGCTGACTTACAATCATCGCAGTTAAATCCAGCAAAGCCAAACGGACATCTAAAATAAACAAAAAATAGGTATTCGTGACGTAGTCAAAAACAAAACACGTATTACATTTCATTTTTTTGCAATGTAAATACAGGCAGCTTTTTTATTCAAAAAGTCAGTTCACCCCAAAATTGAAATTCTGAATGAAAAATTTAGGTCATTCCAAACCCCTGAAAAATATTTTTTTCTTAGCCCCAAAATAAATGCGTTTTTAATCAAGTCTAAGAGTTTTTTTAATACAAATCTCTTAATTGGGTGTTCATAAAATATATACAGTGCTCAGCATATACAAGTACACCCCTCACAAATCTATCTTCTAAATTCAAATTTTTATAGCAAGCTTTACAATATTTGTTATGATTATCTAGCGGTTACAGATCGCTAACGGACTACAAATCCATCATTATGGACTACAAGATCCAGCCATGCACCACCACACAACTGGTTCCTGATTCTGACTGATTGCATACACACAACTCGAGGATTGTCAAAGACTGATTACATGCATTATTTATACAACACGCCTTCGCTCACGCTCACACACACACACACACACACACACACACACACACACACACACACACACACACACCCACACACACCAGGGCTGAGTCTTGTTTGTTTATCTGTTATCATTACGATGCATTTTTCCTTGCCTTGTCCCGCCTTGTACCAATCCTAGTTTATTTGTTTATATTGCCTGCTGCCTGCCTGCATTGACCATTCGTCTGTTATTTGACTACAACACTGGATTCCCTGTGTATAACCATTGCCTGTCTTACCATTCTCTGTTGAATAAACCTGCATTTGGATGCACAATTCCCTTGTCAGCATCCCCCTTATGGCAATATTATAATTTGTGAATATACAGTACACTGAAGCCAAATCTGGAGCTTATCTAACAAAATAACATACAATAACTCTCCAAAAACTAGCACACCCAAATTTATATGTTAAAGAGAAATATTGTATACCATACACTATAAAAAAATTATAAAAAAGTTAATAAACAGTTTCCATATTTTGTGATTCAGTGTTTTTCGGGGTTTTTTTTTTAAGTTGTGAATCACATTAATGAACCTTGATTTCTGCTCTGTCAACTTTTTATGTTGAAAATTCAAATCTACAGTTTAACAAAGTGACTTTTTTTGACATTTTACTTTGAAATAATATATAGTGAAATAAGTCTGTAAAATAGCAGAAAATGTACTGGCAGTTTAATAGAAGTACATTTTTGTACTATAATATACAACACCAACCCAGGCAATATATTACTTTAAACTATTAAAAATGACAGTAAAAGCTACTTTTTCAAACTTTTTAAGGTTAAAAATTGTTGAAAGAAAGATCAAGGTCCCATAATGCAATTCAAAAGCATACATAAACAGGAAAAATAAAAAAACATGAACCATAAAATAGAGAAAACTGAGTGTTACTGAGAAATGCTGAGAAAATTGTTTAAAGTTTGTTTAAATGAATAATCAAAAGTTGTTTTTTGATATATTCATGGCAGGAAATGTAGAAAATATATTCATTGAACATCATCTTTACTTATTATTCTAATGATTTTTGGCTAATGACTGAATTTTCTAATGAATATTTGCAACATAAGACTGATTTCGTGGTCCAGGGTCACATTTAAATTTGGTCACAGAAACGGTAGAGCTGGTAAGGTTTGTCCTTGTGCATTTAACAGGTGTAGTTTGATCAATGTTAATATTTTAATTACAAAAGTCTTGGGAATTAACTTTTGATCTCTTTACAAACATTCTGAAGAGTTTAGGTGAAGAGAGTTTTCATAAAAATATATTAAATAATTCTCTCTTATATCTCAAATAATATACACTTTTGTGTTCCAAAGATAAATCTTTTTTATTTATTTATTTATTTTTTGATGTGGAATGATGAAACTAAGAAATTTCATATTGGAGTACAGTCATCCAGGTTAATCTGTTTTGTGCCTCTGATCCTGAAATTTACATCTTCCTTATAGAGTTTTTAGAAAAAGCTCTTGTGGCTCAGGACATCCCTATTTTAGGGTCAACTGAACCTTTAAGCAGCTGTTTCTGTCAGATCTGTATGACTCCAATCATGTAAGCTCTTGCATTCAGATGCTGACTTGTACTGTATTACACTTGAATGAAACCTGTTAATATAATGAAATCTTCATGTAGAAACATTAAAAAACCTTAAATAAAATTACGCACATACTTTTCACATTTGCCATCCACTGCTTTCTCCCCACTTGGGCAAGCTGTTGAACAGATCGAAGAACAATAGTACATACTTTGGTAGCTTGTCTTTTGTTTTAAAGTTGTCCATATGCAAAAATGAAAAAACAAAGATACTTACCAATGCAGGAATCTGTTGAGAAATCAGACTTTATGTAGCCATCTAGGCAAGTGCATGTTACAGCACCACCCCCTGGCTGCTCATTACACTTTGTGGTTCTACTGTCACAAGCACCAGCACCACACAAAGTGACGCCTGAGAATTGAGTTAAAATGTATCAATGCATGCTTCTAATGATGTAAATAGTTAGATTATTATATATTCTTATCAGTAAACAATTTTAAAGAAGCCATAGGCACACACTTTCAAAACTGTCAGGAAATGAAACTTCAATGCTTTCTTCAATTTTTTCTGATGTGGCGGTGGATGATGGCTCAAAGATGTTCTGTACTTCTGCAACTATACTGCCATTACTGGGAAGGTTGGAACAAGAAAATCATGAAAATAATATGTATAAAAATTATAATAAATGAATACATTTTAAAAAAAGCACACATGCTTCTCAACTTATTTTACTTTAAATAACTCCAAATGGAAAAGTAAAGTCTGAATTACCATTGTTTCACTTTGAATTGTAAGGCTTGTGCTAAAAGTGGCAACTATTTTTTTTTGTGCAAAATCCTATTTATGCAATAAATATTCAAAGAATAAACATTGCTCCAAACGCAGGTATTGTATTTTCACAAGTGTTCACAAATAAAATGAAAGCAAAATCAATGATAAAAATGTTACTTGCCTCAGTTTTAAAACAATGGACCTAATATAACCATCTACTTCCTTCAAAGACTCCCTGAGCTGTTTAAAAAAAAAACAGAAAGCAATTCAAACCATTTGAAACCTTTTTCTTTACATCTCTCATTCAAAGACGAAAGAAGCAAGGATCTTTACACTGACCGGCAGTAATAGTAATAATATATTGTCTTTTGGGACTGAAATGCTAAACAAATCATAAATGAAATTCAATTCCTTACATCATCTTCAATTTCCTGAGCTTTGTCTTTAAACTCTTTAGATGTTGTGTCAGCCATTTCTTTTTTAAAATCCTCGTTTAATTTGAAATTACCAGGGAAGACCTTTCCTGAAATTGTAAAAGAACACAACATAAGTAAATGTGTTCTATGATAAAGAAATGTATAATAAAAAATAGCAATACACCAAGGTGTAACTTTCAAGCTGCATACTATTGTAATTAGCTCACAGGAAATGTCAGTTTGATTCAGCAGATTACTTAAAAAATGCAGCTTCAATTCTATACCACAAGCTACAGTGTATTGTATTTTACATATTATTGTGTGTTCTGATGACTCAAAATGGAGGCAGTCATACTTCGAATACAGCCGTCATTTTCATCATAAAATAGCCCAGGCCGACAGATGCAAGCAAACGATCCTTCAAAGCGATTTTCACAGGTACTGCCTCCAATACAAGGACTAGATGCACATGGACCTTAAAAATAAACAAACAAGATTAGACATTTAACTTTTGGGAACTAGAAAAAAATCTTGTCTAGCAGCAGTTTTAACTATTTTCTGTAAATATGTGGTCAGGTTTCCCCCACAAGTCCAAAGACATGGTGAATTGGGTCAGCTAGATTGTCTATAGTTTAGTATGTGTGTGAATGAATGCATATGGATGTTTCCCAGTGATGGGTTGCAGCTGGAACGGTATCCGCTGTGTAAAACATATGCTGGATAAGTTGGCCGTTCATTCCGCTGTGGCGACCCCAGATTAATAAGGGGACTAAGCCAAATAGACAATGAATGCATGAATGAATGTTCTAAAATGACAATTTGCATGTCCTCACTCAAACTCTACAAATGGTCTACTGACAACAAAACTATTTGGGTAATGTTACGTAATTAATAACAGTAATTACAACGATTTATATCATTTCAAAACTGTTATTTGAAAACCATTGCATTTTGTTATATTAGGATAATAGTGAAGTTTATAATGTTTTTAATCCTAATTTTTAATTCGTCAAAATACTGTGATAGAATTATATACCAGTTGACTAGCATGTTCAAGGTGTAGAAATATCCAATTTATGAATACTGAATATTGATTTTTTCCCCACAAATATGGTTTATTTATTTTAGTAAACTAGTCTTTCTTTACACATAATTTTCTCTAGCTAAAATAACTAAATCTAAATAAAATATGATCAACAAATATAATTCTAAACCTTGATCTTTAAAAAATGTGTAATTGTTGCAACTTAAAAAGGTATGACAATACTGAATCAAGTAGTTTAGATATAAAAACAGACAGGTACTAATTTACAGTCAGTCTGTGGGTTTAAGTTTTTAATAAAGCACAATTTCAATTGTAAAAAGTCTTACTCTTGCATGAATAATGGCACTTTTTCATTCAAAAGTCCTTACTTTGGAACAAACAATTGCACTATTTGCACTATAACTAAAATTACAACACATATTACATTATCAATCAGAGAAACATTATCACACACTACATAATTATAATTATAAAGTGATCATAACCTTTTTTTATTCTAGAAGTGAGACCAAAAAGATGCTACCAACAACTGCTCAAAAAAAAAAAAAAAAAGCTCAAATTTTGTTATAATAAGTAGATGTGGAAACTCTAAAAAAAAAAAAAAAAAGAAAAGTATTCTCCACCATATGGCACTTCTTTAATTATGTTTTTTTTATTTATGGACACTATATAAGAGAATTGTGGCATGCTATGTCCTTAAAGGTTCAGGACACCCTGGAGTACTGTTTTTAAGATTTTAACAGATTTGTGTGTGTTGAGCATCATTTAAGACAACATCAGCATCTGTTGGCTTTAATTGCGAGGAAAACTAGATAATTTTGAGTTTTTGTCAGCTAATTTCATCTCCCGGGTTTAAAATAATTCTTGGGCCGGGATCAAAATCGGTGACGTATTGTGAATCTGCTAGTGGAGTAATGACACGTCAGTTTTTCATCATTATTAAGGCTGAGTGTTCCTATCCTATGAGAAGACCCTGCTTCTTAGTTATTTATGAGAGCATGTGCTTTCCGAAGGCAAGGCAGATCTTCCAAGCTGTGAGACCCAATGACTGGGTGAGACCACACACGGCACGGGTCGTATGTGCTTGTTTCCATGATCCAAAGGTTTGTTGAATGTTTTCCCCGCAATGCTCTCAGGGCCGATACAGCAAAGCTGTTGGTTTGCAGCAATAATTTTTGTCGGGGGAGCTGTACAAGAATTTAAGAATGGCGGACTTTGCCTTTTATCAGTTGAGTTCTTTACGATTCAGACACATTGCTTACATCTTTGTTGTTGTGGTCGCACATGTTTAAAATTCTCCAGATTACCGGCAGGGCTAATGGTTGAAATAAACGGTGCAAGAGACCTGCTGCACTGCTATTCACTGTGTCTGCATTCAGACCCGAGGACTGAGGAGGAGAGAAGTCCTCCTCATTTTACGAATGGAATTACGAATAACAAATGTAGAAGGGTATTAAATTACTTACTGTTTATTTATTTGCATTTCAACTTTATAAACTATAAAATCATTGGTCTCCTCAAGGTTTGTGTCTCATTTTATTTATTTATCTTTTTAATTCTGAGGTAGACTTGAACCTTGAGGGAGGTTTCATGACCCTTTAAGGATACCTTTTTACTATTAAAAAATGACAATGTAGTCTTTGAGCCTGCTGGTGGGAATTTGTACTATGGATATACGAGTACCTTGTGTCGTAGTGGCTGGAGTGGTCGTGGTGGTGGGAGGAGCTGTGCTTGTTGTGCCATCTGGTAAACAAAAATAACAATAACTTAGACTTGTCACAGCATTAATATAATGTTACACTCTGATGATTTGAAGTTTTTCTTTTATCCTCTCTTGTAAATCGCTTTGTGTTAATGCATCTGCCAATTGAGTAAATGTAAACGTAAATGTTGATGAGATTTTGTACTATGTATATAGGAGTACCTTGTGTCGTAGAGCCTGTGTCTGTTGTGCCTGCTGGTAAAAAAGAAAAAAAAAGACTTGGTCCTGGTCATATAATTAGAATAAGTTCAAAAAGTAGATTTATTTCACTAATTCCATTCAAGATGTGAAACTTGTATTGTGCATACATTCAGTCCACATAGGCTGATATATTTCAAGTGTTTTTTTTTTTTACTTCAATGATGACAACTAATAAAAACCCCAAATTCAGTATCTCTGTAGTATCTTCAGTGTTTGAATATTGTGAAAAGGTTCAGTATTAAAGACACCTGGGGCCTCATGTTCGAAGACTTGCGTGGAAATCTTACTAAAACATTGCGTACGCACAAAGCTGTAAATGTTGAATGCCGAATCTCACGAATATTCTTTTGTACATCCGAATGAACGTGAAACTGAGCGCAACATGCACGAGCACAAAACCCCTCCCTGCCTCCTCCCCCGTATGAATATGCCAATGACTATGCTAATGGCAAAACCCAACGAAAAAGCAACGGCAAAATCAAGCAAAAAGAGAAACTTTGAACAGAATGTGAATTGGAGGTGCTGCTTTCGGAGGTAAACCGGAGAAAAGCGGTGTTATTTGCAAGTTTGTTCTCCGGAATTAACAACAAAAGAAACAAAATAGAGTGGGAGAGTTTAGCTGATGCGGTTAACACAGTTGGGTCTGAACATCGCACTGAGTGCATCAAAAAAAGAAATAGTGTGGTTTATATCTGTAAAATGTTGCAGTACTTTTAACAGTCTCAGTGGCGCACCTCGTAAGACGCATGTGATCATGTATTAATTAACACGTTTGAGCATGAACTCGGCTCGAATCCAGTGTATGAGCTCATTCTTTTTTCCCCCGCTACATATCAGATTTTGCCCACTATTTATCACGAGAAAGACAAGTAGGAATCATCAATAAGTTTGTGCATCATATTTTTTTGCACATTTATTGAATGGAAATGTTTCTGATTCACGCATGCAAATTCATCTTCAGATAGTTTCTTAATAGCAATGTGTGTGCGGTAGATTGCTCAGATTACATTGGAAAAACAGGCGACCGCTGCAAATTGTGCTTTAATGTTTAGCTGCTCAACTGTATGGTATGGAAACCTTTTATACCTGCTAGATGAACCCGTCTCATACAGCTGCCATTGCAAGGCTCAGACACTTTGTAGAGAGGAATTTAACACAACTGCCTCTAGGAGTCGCCATTGGGAATAAAACAGACACACACAAAAAATGTGCGTACGCCAGCCAGAAAGCTGCCGTGAAGCTGCGCACATTCCCACGTTCAGTTCATTGTTAGTAAATCCAAACGTGAGCGATTCTGAGCGTGAAACCTGGCGTGAGCAAAGTTTTTGTGCGTACGCAGCGTTGATACATGAGGCCCCTGGTGAGCCATGGATTATGGCTTGCGTACAAGTGTCTGGTAACCGGGTTTTTATCCCACAAAACTTGACCTGGCTCCCTGCTCTGAATCTGAACAATGTTTTGTTTATGTAATTCTGTGGAAGTCACAGTTTATCCATAACAAACACAATGTTCGAGCAAAAAGATATCCATTACTGCACATGGAACCAGGACACCCTAGGTCAAAGGTTGATTGTCAACTTTGTAGTTGTTTCATCTGATCTTCGACTGGATGTCTTGGACTTTCACTCAGGTAAAAAGAGGGACAGAGCTGTCAACAGGGTCCTCTGTAAATGTCTGTCTGAACCACATGTGAGAGGGACTTTGACCATATCCTGATGGAAGCTGGAGACATTGAGACAAAGTGTTGTCTCATCTGGACTGGGCAACTGGAATGTTGGTTATCATTCTTAAGAAGGGGGGCTGAAGGGTGTGTTCCAACTATAGGGGAATCACATTCCTCAGCCTCCCTGAAACAATGACGCAATTAAAAACAACCTTCTGCTTAAGATATAAAAACAGACAGAGATGGTGCCAAACTAATGGAAAGGGGCAAATCGTTCCAAAATTTAAAAGCAGCTACAGAGAAAGCTTGGTCACCCTGACATTTTAGCCAAGACTTTAAGAAAATCCAACCAGATTTAGGAAGAGCTATGTAAATTTTGTCGAGGCTGCAAAATACAGGACCAGCTTTACACCCTCACTGGAATCTTTGAAGGTCTATGTGAGTATGTCCGACCAGTTCATATGTATTTGTAGACTTGGAAAAAGCATTCGACCATGTCCCTTGTGGCATATTATAAGGGGTGCTCTGGCAATATGGGTCCGGAGGTGCTCTGTTAAGGGCTGACCGGTCTCTGTATGAATAGAGCCGGAGTTTGGTTCACAATACCAGCAATAATTCAGAATTCAATTCCATTCAATTGTGGTTTATTTAAATAGTGCTTTTTACAATGTAGATTGTGTCAAATCAGCTTAACATAGTTCTAGTGAAGTCCAGATTTCAGAGTATTGTACCCAGCACATGTTTGACTCCAGCAGGGCAGCCCTTTTTCACCGGTTCTGTTCGTTATTATTATGGACAACATTTCTAGGTGCAGCCTTGGACCGGAGGAGCTCTGATTTGTGGATCACAGGATTATATCTCTGCTATTTGCAGATGATGCTGTCCTGTTTACTTTTTTAAACCTGAACCTTCAGCTTGTGCTTAGACTGTTTCTTGCCAAGTGTGATGTAGCAGGGATGCGAATCAGCACCTCAAAATTTAATGCCATCGGGCTTAACCGCAAAAAGGTGGCCTGCCATTTCCAAGGTTGATTATGTTTTGATCTGTTTAAGTACCCACAACCCAGCCCCAAATAAGCAGCAGCTAATAGTTATAAAAACCTCTGGTAAATGAGTAAATGTAAACATAAATACTGGTGAGATTTTGTAATGTGTTGTATCTTGTGTTGTACCAGCTGCAGAGGTGGTGTTGGCAGAAGCCGTGCTTGATGAGCCTGCTGGAAATAAAAAAAATAAAATTACATCAAATTTGACTTGTCAATGCATTTAAATACTACAACTCTGATTATTTGAATTGCTTCTTTGACCCCCTTCATTTAAAACCGCTTTGGGTAAAAGCGTCGGCTAAATAACTTTTTGTAATATGTATATGGGAGTACCTTGTGTTGTAGTGGATTCAGTGACAATGGGGGAAGGAGTCGTCGAGCTTATTGGGCCTGCAAGTATAAAAAAAAGACTTGTCATACCATTTATGTCATACCATTTATGATGATCTGAAGTTCTTCTTTTACCCTCACTTGTAAATTGCTTTGTATAAAGTGTCTGCTAATTGAATAAATGTAAACATAAATGCTGGTGGGGTTTTGTACAATGGATATGGCAGTACCTTGTGTTGTAGGGGCTTCCGTGACAATGGGGGAAGGAGTCGTCGAGCTTATTGGGCCTGCAAGTAAAAAAAAAAAAAAAAAAGACTTGTCATACCATTTATGCACTGCAACTCTCTGATGATCTGAAGTTCTTCTTTTATCCTCTCTTGTAAATTGCTTTGTATAAAGTGTCTGCTAATTGAATAAATGTAAACATAAATGCTGGTGGGATTTTGTACAATGTATATGGCAGTACCTTGTGTTGTAGGAGCTGCATTAGTGGTGGTGACAGGACCTGTGCTTGTGCCTGCACGTAAAAAAAAACAAAAAAAAACTTAGACTTGTTAAAGGATTTATATAGTGCAACTTTGTTGATTTGAACTGCTTATTTTACCCTTCTTGTAAATCTTTTTATGTAAAGGAGTCTGCTAAATGAGTAAATGTAAATGGTTGGTGGATTTTGTACAATGGATATGGCAGTACCTTGTGTTGTAGTGGTTTCAGTGACAAGGGGGGAAGGAGTCGTCGAGCTTATTGGGCCTGCAAGTATTAAAAAAGACTTGTCATAGCATTTATGCACTGAAACTCTCTGATGATCTGAAGTTCTTCTTTTACCCTCACTCGTAATTTGCTTTGTATAAAGTGTCTGCTAAAAGAGCAAATCTAAACATAAATGCTGGTGGGATTTTGTACAATGGATATGGCAGTACCTTGAGTTGTAGGAGCTGCATCAGTGGTGGTGGCAGGACCTGTGGTTGTGCCTGCACGTAAAAAAAAAAAAAAAAACTTAGACTTGTTAAAGGATTTATATAGTGCAACTTTGTTGATTTGAACTGCTTATTTTACCCTTCTTGTAAATCTTTTTATGTAAAGGAGTCTGCTAAATGAGTAAATGTAAATGGTTGGTGGATTTTGTACTATGGGTATGGGAGAACCTTGTGTCATAGTGGCTGCAGTGGTGGTGGTGGCAAAGTTGTCCTTGTTGTGGGACATTTTAAAATGCTTAATGTAAAAAAAGCTTAGCGTGGCTTAATGTACCTAAACATCAACCCGAGAAACCCAAATGTCTGTCAAACTTTTCTCGTAATTAACCCTAACTACTGTAAAAGGAACAAGACCCAATTTCATAGATAAAATAAAAAAACATTTCGTTAAGCCTTTTCTTCCCCATTGAGATCTATTATAAGGAAAAAGCTTAACATGGCTTAATGTACCTTAACATAGCAAGGAAAATCAAATTTCTATCAAATTTCACTTGTGATTAGTTAGCATTAACTACTAGCAAAAGAATGAGCCCCGTTATCACAGCTAAAATGAACAATAATGTGTTAAGCGTTTTCCCCTATGTTGTCGTGGGGATGTCAATGACATGCACTAGCGCATTCTTTTGACAGGAAGGGTTAAAATTTATAAATAAAATTAGATTTTATTAACAGCTCTTTTAACATTTGGTTTCCCTCGGTTGTTGTAAAGTTAGTTTAAGCCTTTCCTTATTATGGACTTCAATAGGGAGAAAACACTCAAACGTGATATTGTTCACTTTATGAAAATAGTGCCCGTTTTTTTGACAATACTGTTAATCACAAGTAAAGTTTGACAGAAATTCGGGTTTCCCTGGTCAGTGTTAAGGTACGTTAAGCCATGTTAAGCTGTTTTTTTTAGTTTGTTTTTTTTATAATGGAATTAAAGTGATGTTGTTTACTTGATACACAAAATAAAAGCTTGTTCTTTTTACAGCAGAAAGTGTTTATGAGTATATTTTTATAAAAATTTGTCTCCAGATGTGGTAAATTGAAACCACATTAAGCTCTTATAATGGAATTCAATGGGGATAAAACACTTAACGTTACATTGTTCAGTAAAATTTCATAGATTTTTGGTATGCCCTTTTTGTTTAGGTACATTAAGCCATGTTAAGCTTTTTCCTTTTATAATGGACTTCAATGGGGAAACGCATAACGTGATAATTTTCACTCACTAAGATTACAGCTCATTCTTTTGACATCGGAAAGTATTTGTCATGAGTAAAATTTGATAGGGATTTGATTTTTCCTACTTGTAGTTAATGTACATTAAGCCATGCTAAGCTTTTTCCTTATAATGGACTTCAAAGAGGGAGAAAACACTTAACGTGATGTTTTTTTTATTTTATTTTATCTATTAAATTAGGTCTCATTCTTTTTACAGTAGTTAGAGTTAATCACAAGTAAAGTTTGACAGAAATTTGGGTTTCTCTGGTTGATGTTTAAGTACGTTAAGCCACGTTAAGCTTTTTTCACATTAAGCATTTAAGAATGTTCCCTTTTTGTGCCAATGGTAAAACTTTGTGGTCTTACATAAGGTATAGGCTTTGTTTTGTTTTGTTCATACAGTTATTTAATGCAACAAAATTGCTTATTGTAAGTTCATGTTAATTCTCAGTGCATTAATTAATGGTAACAAGCATGCATTTGAGTTTTAATCATGCGTTAGTAAATGCTGAACTGTTTTTTTTTTTTTTTAAATACATGCTGTACAAGTATTGTTCATTAATAGTTCATGTCAGTACACCATGTTAGTACATTATTTAACATTACCTTATGAAACCTTATTGTAAAGTAACCATAACCAATAAAATAAAACAATACAAAATGTGCTTATGTTGTATTAGAAAACAAGATTTGTAAACAAGATCAGCTTGATGTTTCTAATTGTCAAAATGTCACTTTAGCAGAAAAAAAACATGATGAGATGAAAAATATGAATAAGGAAAAATGTCATCTTTGTTTTAAAGGTATTTCAGGAACTACAAGTAATTATTCATAGTTTTGTTTGTATGCTTCATGAGAGTTAAATTCATCAAATAATGGCATTTAGGGTAGGGCCTTAATCACATCATATCTATTGGAATGAGTAGATCATTTTCTTGGGAAAGCAATAAAAATTGTAAAAGGACTTTGAAAGCAATAAAACGTCAACAGTTCCCCAAACACCTCATAATGAGGATAGCAAAGTTCACAGTGTCATTTACCATCAACAGAGGAAAGCAAGATCAAGGTAAACTACTGTAAAGAAATAATAAAAAATAATAGTCAGTAAAAGATTATGACAAACCAAAAGAACAATCAGAAAACACTGAGACTATTGAATAAATTTGCCAAAATATATATGGGTTTTTTATCTGTATATAACAATGAAATAACATGTCGATTAATGTAAAGGCCCATATATATCGCTCTATATTGGAGGTATATATCATCTATTTGATCATGATCTCAAAAAGCACAGTATTACATTGTGATACAACATAAAATGTTAAATGTTATACTAGATTTGCATATGTATAAAAATATTTAACATTTAAAATATTGAAACATTTTATATATACACAGTGCAAGGCATTTTTTTTACAGTATTTCCTATGATATTTTTTCTTCTGGAGAATGTTTTAGTTCGACTAGAATTAAAGCTGTTTTTATTTTTAGCATTTAAACCAATTTAAAGTATGTTATTAGCTCCCTTAAGAATTTTTTTTTCAGTTGTCTAGAGATCAAACCATTATTATACAATAATTTGCCTAATTACCCTAACTTGCCTAATGAACCTAGTTATTAAACCTTTAAATGTCACTTTAAGCTGACAAGTTCTGTTATCTTGAAAAATAATGTCATAAAAATCAAAGATGAAGGAAAATTAATTATCACTTATTAAAACTATTATGTTTGGAAAAGTGTTGAATAAATCTTCTTTCTGTTAAACAAAAATTGGGGGAGAAATATATTCAGGTGGGCTTATACTTCAAGAGGGCTATTAATTCTGACTTTTTTTAAACCCAAATTTTCATCTTCTTAATTACTACTACGACAAAATAGCTTTAACAAATGATATATGGTCACATTCAGATCAAACAAATCATCACCCCTTTACTGATAATATAGCTTGAGTAAAGTTAATCAAGTTAAAAATTAGATTCTAAGTCACACTGATCGAAAACTCAAAATAAATGGTTTACCCACTGAACAACCTCTCTGCGAATAAATAACAGATAATCCCAGTTTTTTTTTTTTTTGGAGTTATTAATTAATAAACAATGACATTTCTTCTGCTATTCTATACTGCTATACCTTCAAATCTTAAAAAAAAAACTACTTGGTTAATAATTAACCTTCAAAGCTAAGCAGCATTCTTCAAAATAATAGCAACAATTACTAATCTTCCATGCTAAAAAGCTAAAAAAATAACAAATAATCATTGTCTATCTAATCATAAAAAATAGAACAAGCTATTAGTAATGAAAGTTCTGAAAATTGTGAGTTTCACAAACTATGAACAACATACAACATTTAAAGGGATAGTTCACCCAAATATGTAATATGCTGTCATCATGTACTCATATGGTTTCAAACATGTAAGAGTTTTTTTTTTTTTTTAAAGAAAGGAAGATATTGTTGAAGAATGCTGGTTCCATGCTATAGGGAAAAAGACAATGAACGTCAATTATGATCAACCAGCATTTTAAAAAATATCTTATTTTGTGTTTACAGAAGAAAGAAACTCAAATAGGTTTTGAAGGATAAGTAAAACATAATAAAGTAACAAGTGTAAGGTGAGTAAATGATTTTCGTGTGAACTACCACTTAAAGTCAGTCAATTTGCAATCACCTTTTAGCAAACCAATAAATGTCCAAATGACTGAAAGGTATAGTTGACCAATAAAAAACAACTAAATGATATTCATTTAATTTAATTTCTCTAAGAAGGTTTATATAGACAGGAAAACACTCACTTGAACCTTGTGCAGTCGTTGCAGCCACTAAGCAGAAGATCAGAAAGGTCTTTAGCGCTTTTTTCATTTTCAGATTTTACTCCGAGCAGGAGTGCAGTAATATAAGGAAGTATAAAAAAATCAGCTCGTCTGGTTGCTGGACGTTTGGCACTGCCGTCTGTTCAGTGAATCAAATGTGTTAAGACGCCCAGTTTAAACATTGAGATCAGGGGGAAGCGCTGAAGATTAACTTTTGACGTGTGACGACAAAACCACGGTCCGCCTTTAACATAAGATAAAGCAGGTGAGATACAATTTGACACTATGTTGATAGATAGATAGATAGATAGATAGATAGATAGATAGATAGATAGATAGATAGATAGATAGATAGATAGATAGATAGATAGATAGATAGATAGATAGATAGATAGATAGATAGATAGATAGATAGATAGATAGATAGATAGATAGATAGATAGATAAATAGATAGAAAGATAGTAAAAGATGCAGGGTTCCACACAACTCATTTCATTCATTCCATTGTCAAAACACAAATCGATTAAGTTAACCTAACGCTTTTAACAAATTCATGTAGATTGAACAGAAAAATTTAGGTTGTCACAATATCTATACATATATATATATATATATATATATATATATATATATATATATATATATATATATATATATAAATTTTTTTTTTTTTTTTTTTTTTTTTTTTTTTTTTTTGTCAGGAGGTAAAATTTAGGTATTTAATAAAGAGATATTTAATAAAAGTGATAAAGTTTAAAAACCCGGGTCTCTTTTTACAACCAAAGATGATTCTTTGGATTTACTAAATGCATTTAATTTTAGTGGTTGTAAACAATTTATTTGGGCTAAATTTAAACAAACATTTAGATTGTTTTGAATAAGGTTGGTTAGGAATACTAGACCTTTAATGCTACTAGATTTTAGTTGCACGTTATTTTATGATATAATTTTAGTATTTACTTCAATATTAAACCATTATTTATTATTTTGCCTTCATAAATTCAAAATTAACTGCTTATTAATAATTATTAAGGTAGTAAGGTTTAGATTTGGGATGTAGGTAGATTAGGGATAAAATTAAGCAGAATATTATAAGTGCCAATATCTTAATAATAGAGTGGTAATAAGCCAATAGTTTAATATTTTTGACGAAAATACATTTACAGCAATGGCAAAAGTTCACTTTTTCATTTGTATTCATTCCATTTTTCATTCCATTTAACACTTAAGGGGATGAAAAGGCACCATTAATATGAATTATAAAATTTTAAAAGGCTGTAGCAGAATCCAGTCAAAGTTAGGCTTCCTAGTGATAACATTACAATGACAATTTTGCCAAGATTCTGTACAGATGCAAAGAATACCCCCATTCAAAAAGCACAAAACACACTCCAAAAATCATTACAGCTGAAAATAATTGTGTGTTATAAATTGTAGGTCAGATGGAAACATAATCATAAACTGTTTTATTAACTAACATTATCTTTGCAGTTTGCCCTCTTTTGAGTACGATCTATCACATCAGTCCAGATGAGTCACTAAAAAAAGCATCCGAATTGGACTTCCTGACTGACAGGACTGATTTTAGAAACCAGTTTTAAATGGACATATTATCTAACTTCTAAAAAAGTAGATTGCTACTGTCTGTGTAATTTTAATTAAAATTTCCCCTTTTTCAATTAAAGGTTATTAAAAATATATATTTCTTAAATAATTAAATAGCTACTAGAACTGTAACTGAATATTTATTACAACATTTGTATTATTTCCTGGAACTGAATCTGAGAGGTTTTTATGAAGTAAATCTTGTTGTTGACTAAACCATTGGCTTAAACACTAACCCAGTCTGCCATGTAATGAAAGGTTATAATGCAAAGAAATAAATTGTTTTATAGACTATATTTGACCAAAGTTCAAAACATCATAGCAGCCAGTTTGACTTACTGGAAATTGAAATGGTCTTGTTGCTAAGTCACTTACGCAATATACTAGAAATCCAACCCATTTTTTACAGATAACAAACAAAGGACAAGAATGTAAAGTCATTATGCACCATTTCTGTTTTGACTGAGATACATGAACAATCTGGTTCATACTGTATAATATTTACATCTGATGGCAAATAATTAACAAGATGATTTGGCAGAACAAATCTTTTTTATTGTTGTTTTGTTTGAGGAAATTGGTCAGAAATCTTTCCGTTTCTCTGTAGCCTGAACTCATAAAACAAATTCCTAAGTATTTTGTTTAATTTCCATATAATTATTTCACTAGAGGTTCTCGCTTTCTCTCCATCTATCCATATTTTTATCATAATTTGTAAGAAAGATTATCAGACATTTAGAGAATAAAACAAATACTAATAAATCCGGTTAAATGTTTTTTCAAGTGGTAATTAATTTAAATTTCATCCATAACTTGTATGAAATGTTTAGCAGCAAAGAGTCAGAAGAATATGACCTAAGTTGACCGAAAATATGATGAACTCTAAGTCTGTTGACACATCCCTGTCAATATTTATGGTCCCCAGTAAATTCTTGCCCGGTAAGACATGAAGTTCACTTATTTAAAATATATTACTCATTTGAATATTTGACAACATAAAAAGGGAATGTTATTTTTGATAAATTAATGCTAAGTTACGAATTTAGCTTTATATGCATGTTTCGCATTATTGCTGAACAAAAATAAGCCAGCTGGGATTTTATAAGTTCTCTTTTGCTGCCATCTGGTGGTACAAAAAATTATATTGAAAAATTATTTCAGTTAATTTAGGTTTTATATTTTCTTTGTTGACAGTCACAGATGGAGACGCCAAGTTCTTCAGTTTTAGACTGTGAAAAAAAAAAAAACTCTAAAAATGCTACTGTAAAAATCTGTTAGTTAGTACATTTCCTTAATATACATGTTTAATAGCATAAATTCACTTTTCCAGAATTCCCTGCATAACACTATATATGCATTTTCATTAAAATGACCATGGATCTTTTTTACCTTCAGTTATGTACATTATACTTTTGTTACATCTAATGTTAATAAATAATCGTTAATGCATTATTTTTGTGTGTCATGATGGTGTTTAGTTGAATTACATCGAGCATCTTCTCTCAAGGTTACTACAGGTTTTACCAAGTTAACTTTAAGACATTTTTTAAGACCATTGCAAGTTAAATTTTAGATTTATACAGGGCTAAATGTTAAAGATGTTTTTTGAATATCCCAGTTAGAGACGATTTTCACTTATCCTATCAAAAAATCTTTAGAATTGATTACGATGAAACAACAATAATAATTTAATAACAACAAATATAGGTCAGGATTGTGTCCTCAGCATTAAATAAATGCAGAACATGTAAGTAAAGTAATTAAATGCAATTTTTTTTAAATAAAAGGTTTTACTGAGATTGTGATTGTTGGTGATTGGGTAGTTAAGACCTGTTAAAAAAATAATTAAGGCCTTTAACACAATATTTTAGTTTATTAAAACTTTTTAAGGCCTAAAATTTTGCTTTTGAGATTTAGGACATTAGAACTTATATAACCCAGCGAATACCTTGTCTATATATAAGGGGTTCTCTGCTGCTGGGAAAAGGTGTACATAATGAAAACTAGAGTTTAGAGTAAATTTTAGAAAATTATCTTATGATTTCTACCATATTTCAACCGTAAAGTTCTGGCAATGATAGCTGCTGGTTTTTCACCATACATTTAACTTTGTGTGTGTGTGTGTGTGTGTGTGTGTGTGTGTTTTTGGTGTACCATTTATACAAAAATCTACTAATTGCCTGTGAAAAATAAGAGTAAACAATGTACATTCATGTTTAATCCTTCATTTACATTAAAGTATTGAACTTAAACGTAAATAGCAAAGGACCTATATTTTGACTAAAATCCCTTTGTATGTATGAATAAATATAATTCAAACTGTTTATATATTTTGTCAATAAATGGAGTGCATCATCCATAGCAATAACATTAAAAATTAAAATTTATCAGCTTTCTTTTGAATTCAGAGCAAAAACACTTCCCTTTCCTGCCTGCTCGAAACTTCCACATACTCCCTTAACTTCTGGGACATCATTATTACAGAGTTAAACATTAAAGCTTGACAACACATTTCCAGTCACTGACATCAGCTGCCCTTAACTGACACCACTGCTGAACAAATGTGCACAAAATAGGGTTTGTTTTATAACAAAAGGTTTTTATTGGCTTACCTAATCCTTTATAAAGTCATCTGACATGTATAGCCCAGTGACAGAATTTAGACTGAAGTTGGGGACATATATGCTACAAACATTTGGTGCAATAGTCATCAGAGGAAAGCCATAAAAACAACTTCATATCATGCATATCAGAAACAAAAATAAAACAAAAACATTTGTAGTGTTTTTGTACATTATTGTAAACAAAGTCTCTCTAGAAATCATATCAAAACACATGGCGAGTAACAAAAACATGGGGGAAAACGAGACGAATCATGAAATTCTAGGGATTACTCTACAATGAAACACTGCTTGGCATCGCCGCTCAACAGAGAAGAAACAAAATAGAACAAATCAAGTTTAACTGTAAACACAGGTGGCATTATATGATTACACAATAAGCTGACGCACACTACAATATCTCTACTACATGAAACATCCCTGGTTTTCTCATTTTTTACAATGATATGAGGTATATTAAGGTCAATCCTATTCTTCCAGCCACTTTTTTTATTCGCTTTCTTTTTTTCTATAAAAGCATGGAACAAGTTTGGAGTGCAGCATTCAGACTTTGTTCTTTACGCCATCACCTCGATGGCATTTCCGTGGGACCGGTTTACATAAAAGCCAGGGAAATAAAATAGGGCAAGACCACCAGAATGTCTGACATGGGACATATGGCCTCGCTACACGGGCCAAAAACCAGGAAGACAAAGCAGCTCACCAATCGTTCCAAATTCTTTCCCTTATTCATTGCTCATTTAAAAACAGCACAGGTTTAGGTCCTTATTATTTGCAGCGATTTCCTTCGCAACAACTTAAAAGAAAAGCTCACAATTTTCTCAAGCATTAAATTCAAAACTACACAATGAGAGGTAGGACTCCATTTGTTCCTGCTCAACCCAAGTCAAAACAGTCATGATACCTGAAGACTTCCAGAGCAAACATGCTTCAGAGTCGTCCACAATTATATATAAAAAGTGGCATTCACGTTCATTAACAGTGTTTTCATCTAAAGGAACAAAATAGAACCTATGAATA